AAGGTATTAGGACAATTCCTGGTACATGATAAACATGGGACACTACTAAGGGTCAGTATCGGAATGGGTCAGCTTTGCATGAATTCTGTGAGACAGCATCACACAGTGGAGACAGCATCCGTTTTTTGGATAGTCAGACCTAAGTGTGACCCCCTCAGCTCCAACATCTACCAAGTCTGACATCCAGACAGCTCATTTCACTTTTTTGCGGTCACTTCTGCATCTATTAAGTGGACAAAATCACATTGGATTCAAAGTGTTGTCATGATGACTAAATGATGATGGCGTGTCTGTGAAAGGCGTGATGCTGGCGCACAGTAGGTGGTCGATAAAGACCAGGCTGGGAGGAGTCCTGGAGGTGCTATCAGGTAAGCATTGGATGGCTAACTGCAAGGTTGGGCCAAACTCACCAGCCACTCTGGGAGAAAGATGAGACTGTCAGTGTCCATAAAGATTGACAGCCTAGGAGTCAGAATTCACTCGGTGGCCATGGGTTTGGCTTATCTCAAGGGAGAGGCAAGTCTATTTGACGGAATGAGCATGGCTTTATACCCAGGACATTAGGCAAAAAAGAATTCTCTGCTCTTAGAGACCCTCCCTTTCTTTACAGGAGAATTCTAGTACCAGTGGAAGATGGGGATCTAACATACTGCAAACCGTGAGAGCTGGAAGTGGAAGGGACTTCTTGTTTTTCTGGGTCACACAAGTTCTGTCTCTTGTTCATTTTAGTAGAACATATTTGAATTGCATTCTCTAACACATTTTCTATTTTACATTGCTTTTGGCTTTCCTGTGTTTGGGCAAGTAAAACATTACTGCTACAAAACTCACAGAAACCTTTACTAAACAAAAGCATCAACATGTGAAGCTATCGTTTCCTGACCTGTCCTCGCCCCCAGGTCTCCCTACTTCTGAAGGGAATGTTCCCCTCTGTCTGCCCCTCCCCCAAAGAGCGCTCTGCTCCTCATTTCACACCACATCAAGACAGCAGTATCAGAATCCTTAAGGGATTCAAATAGCTTATTTCGTAAACATCCTTTGAGTTTGGACAACAAAAAGAAGTCTGTAGGGGCAAGACCAGGGATGTGTGATGGACGAGGGAAGGTGTCCGAGAGAAATGTTTGTAAGACAGGCCTTGCTGCCCTGGCAGAATGAGCAGGCGCGCTGTCATGATGGGACAGAAATGTCACAGTGCAGCTTTCCCGGTCTTTTCCTCACCAACAGAGTTTTTACTTTGCTTAAAATTTCTTCCTAAAAAGCCCCTGCAATTTTCCCGCGTCCTTCTAGAAAGGCTCTCAAAATGATTCTGGAATCCCCCAACACAATCACCATGACCTTCTGAACGAACCTTCCTGGTTGAATAAGTGGCCCAGCAGAGCCCCTCAGAAACCAGCTTTGAGGAGGCCTTTCTGGTTTTGGGGAGGCACCCCAACAAGACTCAGAAGGGTGTGCTGCTGAGAGAACTCGGCAGTGGCAGACGCGCTAACACTCCCTGCCACTGAGTCACTGCTGACTCACCTGGGCCTTGGACGACAGAGCAGAATTGTCCTGCTGGGTTTCTGAGCTGTCCCTCTTGAAGGGGGCAGACAGCCTCACCTTTCCCCTGCGGCCCTGGTGGGCAGCAGCTCAGCTGGTAACCCACATCCTCACCAGGGCTCACTGACGGCGGAGACAGACGTGTTCAAATACCGTCTAATGCAGGCATGAAATGAAACCTTGGTAACAACGCTGTTTGACTTCCTCTTGTTTGTACGAAATCTTGACCTCATCACAGGGGCTCACTGTGGTAACTGTGATCATCCCAGGGGTCAGCAAACCACCATCTGGGGGCCCTTCCCTTCTGGCCACCTGTTTGTGGGTACTGCACACTAAGGATAATTTTACATTTCTAAGTGGTTGAGGGGGATGGGGAGAAGAACATTTGGTGACTCATGAAAATTGTATGAAATTCAAATGTCAGCTTCCATAAGTAAAATTTATCCCCCCCCCCCACAGGCATGCTTGTTTGTTTCTTGCTCGTCTGGGCTGTCTGTCACACGACAGTGGCAGGTGTCAGTGGTGGCAACCGAGATCATAGGCAAAACCTGAACTATTTATTAGCGACTCCGTTTGCTTGTTCGACCGCTGATCTATTTCAGCTCCTCTCATTTTTGAAGAGTAAGGAGCAGACAATTTCTGACTTATTGTTTTAAATATCCAGATGTCAGAATCTAGTTCCTTGATTCTGGCTAACGTAGCTGGACATTTTGTTTTCTGTAAAAAAATTGAGATTTGAGAAAACACATAAAGTAGGACAAATGGGATATGTGTTATATTTCTTACTTGAGAAAAATGTGCTCACTCATTAGTTTGAATATTTACCTTGCAAATCTTAAGATATTTTCATGTCTGCAGATAGTTTTATGAGGACATCAAAAGGACCATGGAAAAGTGGAAAGAAAAGATAATATTTCCACATACTTTTTGAGGCCCCTCCCTATAGTCTAACTTGTAGAAATGTTTGTTATAGGTGAAGACATGTTGGAATTGTAAATTATCGATCAACTGACCAGTCTACACTAGTTAATTATGTAGATGATGGCTCTAGTTTTATTTCCTCATCTCTTTACTTTTTAAAAAGTGGTTTTTTTTTCATCTCTTCACTTTAAAAACAAGTTAAACCCCTCGTTCTCCAGCACTTGCGTTTCTCCTATTGCTCTCTGTACCTGCTTTTCCCTTGATCATCGCTGTCCCGACCTCTCTCCAAACCTCATGCTACCAAAACATAACTGAGGCTAAGCGGCAATTTAAGCTGATTTTATTCCTGCTTGATCGGAGACTCCAATGGTTTGAGAACATGAATACATTTAAAGGGAGAGCACATGTGTGTTCTTAGGTTGACACCCCGTAAATGAGATATGGCAACGCACACGAGTCACTTGATTTAGATTCATTAGAAAACCAGAATGCTGTGCTCAGAGCAAGTTGTGTCTCTCCAGAAAGACAAGTGGCAGATTGGCTGCAGTCCAGGGTTCAATTTCCAGAACGTCGTCATATATTCCAGGAAAGAAGTCAGGGAATCGAAAATTAAAGGTAGACTTATTCTCCCTCTCTAACTGAAGCCCTAACTGATCTGTTTATGTCTCTCAGGAACTTCACACATTCATAAGAAATTATTAAAACAAGCTACCTTTTAATGAACTACATTAAAGCATTTTGCCTTTCCTGAGCTTTTGTCTTCAATCAAACCAACTGGGAGTTTTAGTAAAAACTAGACCTCAATGAGTCCATGGTTCAAAGGCAAAGGGTTTCGACTGACCAGGCACCTAAGGATTCTAGATTCACGATTTGATCGGTTTCCGAGTGAGAGTCCCCCCGGAGCCTGGCTTTAGCTCCGAGGCTTTGTGGCACCTGTTTTGGGTGCTCTGGACTCTTTCACTTCTTCTGTGTGGGGACTCAGTCTAGACGGGTAGGGAGATCCAGGAACGCTCCTTTCTCAATGCAGAGAGATCACTGGGTCAAGGAGTTCCCTGGTAACATAAACAGTTAACACCCTTAGTTTCAGACTGAAAGACTAGAGGTGGGAGTCCAGCCATGAGTACCTCAGAAGAAAGGCCTGGTCATCTCTCTCTAAGAGCTTCCCACCATTGAGAACCCTACAGAGCACAGGTCTCTTCTGACATACATGGGGGCCCCATGAGTCAGAATTAATGGCAACTGTTTCTATTTACTTATTTTTAAATTGATTGAAAATTCAGTTACATTTGATTTATCATTTGAAGGTGCAGTGGGAACCCTCAGCTTTTAAATCTAAAGACAGAAATCGTTGGGAACTTTTTTCATAGTACCACACACATGCACACACAAGCATGCACGTGCACATGCACACCTTGCCATTTTTGCTGCCTTAATAAAGAGAATTTTCATTCCTGTGTCATCTTTCCCACGGCTAAGAACAGGCATTGGCAGGTTCGATCGTGGCTCTGCCAGGATTTGGTAGCTGTCTAGCATGGTTTTCCACCCCGTGCTGCTCTTTTCTCGAGCTGTGGGGTGACAACAAGAAGCGTTCCTATGCCACTGGCTTGCTGTAAAATTTAGAGCTCTGATTCAAGACAAAACATTCCAGTTTCACCTTTGCTGAATCACAGGTGTCAAAACCAGCCTGACCTGTATGTTCTCTGTGGTTTGGACTGATTTAGTTTCTCTAGGAAATCCCCTACTCCTCTCTTGTGTAACGCTGGCTTCTTTTATTAATTGTCCTGATTAATGGTCTCATCTGGGCCCCACTTCTAGACAGGACACATAGGACTCTGCCTACTACATCGTTAATGTCTGAGGCAGACTATTTTCTGTTTTGCACTATCTTATGCTCTCCCCGAAGCGTGAGTGCTTCAAAGTTGCCCCTGCAGATGTGGATAGACACAAGAGCGCCCAAATGCAGGGTCAGGAAGGAAAACACATGCAAGAGATTGCTACAGATACTTCCTCATTCTTTGAATTTTAAAAAAAGTTCCTCTGGTTTACAGAAGGGCAGGCCTTCTGTTTATTTTACCGGCAATACGACTCTCAATAGCTTTGGATCAAAACACATTTCTTCAGTCCCCAGAGCTGTAAGCAGTCCACCAAGCAATATGAGCATGCACATCCCAATTCTGTCCCCATTCTGTCTCCCATTGTCTCAATCTACCTATTCTCGCAGCTAGAAACAATCTATGCTTCTTTCTTTTTCTTTTTTTTTTTTTAATGAATGCAATCAGTTCCAATAGAAGCTACCTGACAGATATAAATCAGCCAAGTGGAAAAAGATGAAGGAGCTTCAAACAGTTGCTGGAAAAAGGAAATCACATTGACTCTGAATTCCATTTCTCCACACACTGTTTTTGGAGCCATCTCTTAGACCATCAGGGTGCCAGAGAAAGCTGGGGTGCTGAAGAGCATCTCACTGAAGCCAGCCTTTGGGGAGGAGTGGGGGCTTCATGTCACCCCATCAAACACTTTGACAAGGGGAGCGGCTCTCTTACCCCAAGTCCTGGAGCAGCTCGGTGTCGCCATCCAATCGGCCCCACAGGTCTGAGGGATCCTGGCCACTCATCTTCCCTTCTAAGGTTTCTGCTCTGCCCATTCGCTCTCCTCGCGCTCACGGCCCCAGAGTCCCGGCCAGGTGCTCTAGGCAAGACAGCCGCAGAGAGAAGTGGGCGCCTGAGCCACACGAGCTGCCAGTCTCCAGCAGGCCAGGAAGTGAGACTTGGTTCCTCCTCCCAGTCGTGACACTCACCACCCAGCCCCCGAGGCTCTGGCGGGAGAGGTCTGTCAGTCATAGCATATGCAAATCGAGGGAGTTCTTGGGAGGACGGAGGCAAGACACCACACCTGTGGTTTCTGTCAAAGTAACCTGGGCTTGGAGGATGAAGCCAAACTTTTCTTCGGAGGCCAAACCAAAGCCTCTCACTAAGGCGCTTAGCCCCCATGGGTAGAGGAGGGTGTGTGTCTCGGAGGTGTGCCTGAAAGAACGTCACATTCAGACCACTTATAAGAGTGTGCCTGGGACAAATGAGGGTCAGCTCGCTCGCAGTGAGACCGCAGCTGTACGGTCAGTGTTTTTTGGGCATCCCTGCTGGAGGACCACAGCTACTTCATGTGCCAGGTGGGGAGGAGTCACGGACAAGCCTGGCTTCCCCTCTTGAAGAAGGATTCTGGAAGAAGAAGGGAGGACAGGTTGTGGACCCTAGCAGAGCTCCCAGAGTCCTTCCGCGGCAGTCGTTGCAGTTCGCTGGGGTGGCCTCTAGTGCGGAAGGCGCCAGGTTCATGTGGAAAAGCAAGTTCATGGAAACTACAGGGATTCTGAGTCGTGGGAAAGCAGAACGACGTGCGGCACTAAAGGGTGGACGCCTGCCTTCTGCCGGCGCTGTGGGTGCCCAGAAGAAGGTAGGTGCTTCGGGGCACAGGTGCATCGCTCCAGAACTCACTCAGCACTCCCGAGGGGGGCACTCTCACCCACTCCTCATCCGAGGTGAGGACTCTTGCGGGACAGGAATCCAGCTGGTCTTCTTAAAGGAGACCTGGGGATGAGTGTGCCACTGAAACCCCAAAGGTGGGCAGTCTGGACCTATCAAGTTGCTCCTGGAGCAAAAAAGGTGAGAGTCTGCTCCCGTGGAGAACATTGCTGGTGTTAGGTGCGCTTAGTTCTGATTCACAGAGACCCTATGTGCGACAGAACGAGGCACTGCCTGGTCCTAGGCCGTCCTCAGAATCGTCGATGGGTTTCAGCCCTCTGTTGCAACCCTTGTGGAAGTCCACCTCATTGGGGGCCTGCCTCGTTTTCACTGGCCCCCTTTTTTTCACCACACATGACAGCCTTCTCCGGGAATCGGTCCTTCCCGATACCGCAATCAAAGTCTCACCAGCCATGCTTCTAGAGAGCATACCCACCTATATTTCTTCCAAGACAGGTTTATTCTTTCTTCTGGCAGTTCTCGCAGGTTCAATATTTGTTCTCAGCATGGTTACTCAAAGGCATTGATTCTTCTTCAGGCTTTCTTACCCACATGTTCAGATCTCACATGCCTATGAAGGGCAATATCCTGGCTTGGCCCAGGCCCATCCTCGTTCACCTTTGCTTTTTCACTCTTTGAAGAAGCCTTTTGGAGCAGAATTGCCTGCTGCTTCCATGAGTGCCAGTAGTGGAGCCAAGTAAAATGAAATCCTTAACAACTTTCATTTAAAAAAAATAATTTTATTGGAGGCTCTTACAGACAACATCAATCTTTTCTCCACTTATCTCTGTACAGTTGTGAGGATTTTTGCTTTCTATACATTGAAGTACAGTACATACTGCTGAAGTCTGACCTTCCTCAGTAAGTGTGCCAAGTCCCACTTGCTTTCAGCAGGCCAGGCTGTTATCTGCAGAAAGAAGGCTGCTCCCGGAGCTTCATCCAACCCTCACACTTCCCGCTTCTTCACATAGTCCAGCTTCTCATATTTTTTGCTCAGCATAAAGATCGAACAATCATGGTGAAAGGATACAATCCTATGCAAACCTTTCCTGATTTCATACCACCTAATATCCTCCTGTTCATTTGTAATGACTGCCTCTTGGTCTGTGTTCAGGGTCCATATGAGCACAATTAAGTGTTTTGGAATTCCCATTTTGCCAAAGTTAGTCATAAGGTGTTATGATCCACACCGTCAAATATCTTTTCATAGTTATGGAAACACAGGTAAGTATCTTTCTGGTCGTCTCTGCCTTCAGCCAAGATCCATTTTATATTAGCAGCGTTGTCCCTTATTCCATGTCCGCTTCCAGATTCAGCTTGAGTATCTGGCAGCTCCTTTTGGGTGTGTTGCTGCAGCAGTTTTTGAATTGTCTTCAGCAATGTTTTTCTTGTGGATGGTATTATTATGTAATTTGATACTGTTTGCATGCTGTTGGATCACCTTTCTTTAGAATGGGTAAAAATGATGAGTCTCATCCAGCCAGTTAATAGGTAGTTATCTTCCAAATTTCTGGGCATAGTGAAGTGAGTACTTCTTGCATTGTTGAAACATCTCAGTTGGTATTCCGTCAATTCCTGTACTGTTTTGTTTTGTTTTTCCCCTTTTCCTAAGGTCTTCAGTGTAAGTTGGATTTCTTCCTTCAGTACTATTGGTTTTTGTTCTGAAATGGTTGACAATCGACTCTTTTTTTCCCTTGGTACTGTGACTCTATGTAAATATTATAGAATTGGAAGGCCTATGGCTCAGTTCTACTCTGTCGCGCAGGGCCTCTCTGAAGAGAATGGGAAGGGCATGTTAAGGAGTCTCCTGGTTCAATGGGTAAGTGTTGTGAGGCTAAGCAAAGGTCAGAGGTTGAATCTACCCAATGGTGCGTTGGGACAAAAACATCTGCTTCTGTAAAGGTAACAGCCTAGCAACCCTATGAGGAAGTGGCTCCTTTAAAATGTGTCCATGGGAGTTTGAGTTCGAGCCCCCCTTGGGGATTGTTCAATGGTGCAACTGTGGGGCCACTTAATAAACTAGTTCAAACGTAAAGGCAATTTGTTGTCTTGAGTGAACTAGGAATCAATTTCCTTGTCTTCTTTTGCTAGGAAATGTTATTTGGATAAACCTATAGGGAACAACAAGCGATCCAAATTGGTGGGGAGGTGGTTGTGGGAGACCTGGTAGGGCAGGATCAAGGGGAACGTAACAAAGAGGAAGTGCTGAAATCCTGGTGGGGACTGAGCATGATAG